AGGCTATACGGGGTTAGTCGGTGGAAACGCACCGGCAGAAGTTGGCCGCAAGTGGCCGACGCCGGCAGTGGGGGCCTCTTAAAAGAATGACATGTCACTCATGTGACCGATTCTCATAAGCGCAAACTGACAGTTCGCGCAGGTTACTGAAACAATTAATTACCACTTTAATGACAAAATTTAATGTACAGTTAAGATTTATTTTGACAACAGATTCTTCGCTACGCCTCTTTGGTTCAAAAGTATTTCAATTAATTGACTCTTTAAATTAATTGCAGCATCGTAGTGCGGAATTGCAGTTGCGATGATTACTTGGAAATATCGATATTGTGAATATTTTAAGCTTTACGTTCTCTTAATTGCAATCTGTTTTGATAATAAATCTTAACCGATATTATATTATGTCATTACGATATTAATTAATTATTTCAGTAACCTAGCTATTGCAATATCTCAATAACCGCATTGCTGTGCGAACTGTCAGTTTGCGCTTATGGGAATCGGTCGCAGTCACGTGTCATTCTTTCAAGAGGCCACACACTGCCGTGTCCGGCCACTTGCGGCCAACTTCTGCCGGTGCGTTTCTACTGAGTAACCCTGTATAGGAACCATAGGGAACATGATGCCCGCTGCACAATGCCGCATTTTAAAGTCACCATGTTCTCCATCTTGGAATGTGATTTTGAGTACTTTTTTTTTCTTTCTCTTTTTGAAAAACACTCAAACCCTCGCAATTGCCCTTCCCCGTAAGAACGATAAACTTAACGCCATGACCTCGGTGGGGGGTCCGTACTGTTTCCGTACTTTTGAAAAATAAGGCCCCAAATTGTGGAAGGGTACTGGACCAATGGGGAGCCATCAAGGAGAAGGGCAGAAAATTTGTGTAAAATCCGTGGCGCGGCTTGGAGCTGTAGTACCAACGTAAAAGGTACTTGTAAAAGGGCTCGTGCCGTTACCTGGTACCTTTTCTATTACCAGGTCGGCGGTAGTCGGCTTCTAAGGATGCCTAATAGTCGATCCTTTGGCTCTCTCTCTCTCTCTCTCTCTCTGTCATTCCTATGCACGGACAAAAGGAGATGCTTTCCTTCTGGAATCTACCTATCGCGCCCCTCGACCTTTACTCAACCCACGGCAGAGCTACCTCAGCGATTCCTCCACCCTCGAAGGGTGCATTCGGGGTGGCAAGAGCCAAAATTGGGTGCTAACCGTAGAAAGGGCCACTTGACTCGGAGCACAACAAACAAACAGGAGGCGACTATAGTGTAGGCCCCGTTCATCCTTTTTTTCTTTTTTTGGAGTTTTCGACGAAATATTAGGAGGGGTAACTAAGGATCCTGGATAAAAAAAAGGGGAGGTCAAAGCACCGTGAAAGGGAGGCCAGGGACCATTTTCGCTCAGTGACGTATAAAGGGACCCAATGTCCCGTTGCCAGTGAATCACGGAAGTCGTTGCCTATGTGGAATTCCCGATGAGGGTGCTTCCGTGTAATTGACAGATTTATCTGAGAGATCAGGGACCAGCAACGCTTTTTTTTTTTTTTTTCGTTCCGAGTGAAACCTATCATTTTTCTTTCAATGTCAAACAGCGACCCCTGACAGCAATCTACGAAGGATTACGTATCCTCTTATTCTTTGGAAGCCATTAAAGTAGCATTAAGAAACTCGTTGAACGTAGGAAAAGGGTGCAAGAGAATTAAAAAAAAAAGAAATTTCTTTTTCAAAATTAAGCAACTACCTTATATAGGAATTTCTCGCCGGTATCTCAATATCGCAGAGAACCTCTATTCTGGTGACATCCACATGTGTATATGTATACTCAAAGGTGTAGTCTCTCTCTCTCTCTCTCTCTCTCTCACCGTCAAATCCCACGAACCCTATCTCACATACGAATAAAGGTGGGCGTGACTCTAGAAGCCGCTTAACCAATGGGAGACCTGAATCCCGCCTTTTTATTCCACCCGCCCCCCCCTCACCCACCAATTCCCCCGCCAAAACACCTATCAGACTCCGACCCCTCGCGATCGGACCAGGCGCACCGGGAACCTCACGGTGACAACCAATGCCAGACACAGTTCCTATGAAATCCCAGCGAATCAAAACACTTGGCCTTATCATTGTCACGGAAACGGGATGATATCATAGTCCATCCGGGAAATGTACCTCGCGATTTCAATGACAGCAACGTCACCCGAGTCGGCGCTGAATACAAATTCTCCAAAGTAAAAACAATTGGACGTCAAACGCCCGCGCGACGTAACGAACGAAGCCCAACATTTTCTCTCGATCCGAGTGACTCTTAAGATAAAAAGAAAAAAAAAAAAAAAAATATCCACGAGCAACTTCATAAAATCATGTAAAATATTTCGCTGGCGTTACCCGCATCGAAGCACCGAGTGTCTTGAATCGGCTCGAGTTGGCCAGTCGAAACGAGCCAATTTCAGAGCGACGCGATTCAGCAGCCCCAGGGCTGAAAACGTCTGCCTGCCGGCCGCTAAATTAGTTGCCGACTTCACTTCATCCCTGTCGGAATCGCATTTCCGTATTGCGAGCCTCTCGCTTCGGCTAACTCGAAGACACCGAAGCTCCCAATTTCGATGCAGGATAAGAATGAAAGATCGAGTGTCCGGAAAGCGATGAAACATCAATTTCAGACTTTTCACAACATCAGCCCCTCGGCTACGGCTCTGACGGCAAACTTCGCCCTGAAATCGTCTTGTGTCGCCCTTGTCGCGCGTCTTTTGATTCCCATAAAAAAAAAAAAAAAAAATTTTTTTTGTCAACTGTAAATTTTGAAAAATTTTTTAACAATCACTCAGCCATCTATTAACGCGCTTCTACGAAAATCACGTACACTTTAGCGCATTTACAACCGGGCGACGATTTCCACACGATAATATTGACTCCTACATATGTATATCCATAGAAGAAAGTCACCGTAATCTACGCAAAGTCCCCGTTAATCAATCAACAGCTTCTAATCGCATTAGGCTTAATGAGTCTCCCGAAGCCTCATCCAACTTCATCCGTAAGTATAAACAGGCATCTATTAATTATGCGTACTCTCTCTCTCTCTCTCTCTCTCTCTCTCTCTCTCTCTCTCTCTCTCTCTCTCTCTCTCTCAAAGTGAATTCGAAAGGGAAGCAAATCGAATAATCAAAGCTCGCAATTCGAATACATCTTCGCCGATTACAAAGCGCCAATCAAATGTCACTATCGATGCCGTCAAATTAATGCTCGGCCCGATCGGAAGACATATGCCGTGTAGAGGCTACGAGTATACAGGGAAAATGACATAGAGCTATGCCTATGTTACGAGCGTAAAGAAAACGAACAGCGAAGGAAAATTGTACATCGTGGAATTAAATGGACGTAACAGTAGTGATTATTTGAAAGGCGACAACTTAATCGTCGCCGTTTCGAAGCAAATTCCTACTGGGCTTCGTGAGTGACGAACAGTTCGGCTGGCAAAGTGGCGCTCGGCGCTATAGCGCACTGGTCGCAGCTAGACTGGAAGTCATGGACTGTCGCGTCCTTATTCCTGTGAATTGTGTGTACGACAAGAAGGTTGGATAACTCGACGATTTTGCACGTAATAACGCGAGAGGCATGGTAAACGCCTAATGCACGGTGACGAGTTACGAGAAATTGCGAAATTTTTCAAAATTCCTACTATCGACGTCGTCGCGTGTGCTTTGGTAGGAATTTTTGAAAATTTGACTTTTTTACTTTCTTTTCTTTTTTTTTTTCATCGCCATTTCCGACCACACCCAGCAACATGCCTGGGTTACGATTTTCCCGGTGTACGGCTCGAGTATATCAGCCATGTATGAAATTTATATAATTCGCACATCGCTGCCGTAGCTGTGTATTTGAAGATCCCTCATGTAACCCAGCCCTACCTGACCCACTAATTTGCCAGGATACGGCTGCAGTAGGGATTTGCCAAATTTGGACAATTTTACCTGACCCTGATTCCGCACGAGCAATTTCCCAAGACGTTAACTACGTGCTGCCGACAAGTGTCCGTGGGCACAAGTATCGTGAATTCCGTCGATAATTCTCTCTCGATAAACAGTAACGAAACTTGGTGAAATTTCGAAGCATCGTCGTGTACCTCTAGTTTACTTAAGAAATGTTTAATTCTTCAATTATCGATTGGGTATATGACCCTTAGGAGGTCAAGTCAAATTAATCAGTAAATAAATCCCAGTACGGTTAGGTTATTTAATCTACAGTTCGGCGCCTTTCGAATCTAATGACAATATTCAATGACTCAGCCCACTGATTTATAATGGCATTCCATATTTCAGTTTCATTATTATTATAGCAGGAGGAGCCTATGGCAATAAAATCATTTACAAAATACATTATATTACGGTAATAAAAAAGGAATTCTCATAATAAATTCCCTCGAAAATTGTCAAATGCTGTGATTATACTTTGACAACAGTGTCGTGTAAATTGGTAAAGGCAAAGTTATTGACGTTCGAGGGATTGATTTAAAAAAAAAAAAAAAAAAAAAAATTTTT